CCCCAAAACCCCAAAACCCCAAAACCCCAGATATAAAAGATTAGATGAAAATTAGGGGGAAAAACTGAGTCTGCCAATACAAAACAATAGAACATATCAATGTATTATTAAAAGTACATAAACATATCAGATAAAATCATGTTAATACTTATTAGTTTAGGCTTATACAGAACTTGCACCCACTTATATATTTACTGTGGCTGTCGTTCTATACCTTCCATCTGACTAGTTAATCATCTCATTTTCTTAAGAATCTCAGAGACATTATCCTCGTCCTTTTCGAATTAATCTTATTTGTCCATCTTGATAAGTCTAGAGTTATCATCGTCTCTGGCTGCTGTGTGAATAACTCCTTCGGTATTCATTGGCCCATAATTATTTTGAGAAGTATCTTCAATAACGCTACTATTAGATCTCTTTCTTCTTTCCTCTTCTTCGTCAGTGTCATAGTGATTGGGATCATAGTTGTTTTATCTTCTCCAGGCTTCCTTCTTCTTTTTGTTAATCTTGATTTCAATCCAGTAGTGATTGTCCCTCACATCGAATTCAATACCTCTGTTTCCGTACTTCTTATTCAATCTTTCGAAGAAAGCTAGCAGAGTCTTTCTGACCATCTCCTTGTATGGGATGTAATTACCTGGCTTTTGGAAGAAATTAACAACTCCAATTACGAGAGTTATAAATACCGAGATAGCAAGCAGGAAGAAGCCAGCTATTCTAGCCTTCTCATCATCATCTCTGATTCCGTAGTACATCAGGAAGAAAAAGCATAGAAGCAATACAGTGGAAAGACCTAGTGCAATAATAATTCCCATATTGATGCCCTCAACATCCTTCTTTCTGTTGTGGGAGTAGACTTTAGCTGTGATTTGCGAGCAAGTATCGATGATTCCGTTAAATTCTTTCATTTTTATGATTCCTCCTATGTAGGGTCGATTAGTCCACCATAGATTACGAAGGAAACCAGTACCCTTCATGTTTGATGGAACTACTACCATTCCATCTGAACTCTTTGGGACTAGGATTTCTCGCTAGTGACCACCTCTTTAGAAGAGAATTTTCTCTCCTCCTAAGTTTTGTTCCTCTGCCATTTACTAAGAAGATTCGTTAGAAGATTATTACTATAATATAATTATCAATTAAATTTATCATTCATTTAGACTGATCTACTACAAATTTGTTCATTTGGGGTTTTGGGGTTTTGGGGTTTTGGGGTTTTGGGG